TTGTGTGTGTGTGTGTGTTTGTGTGTGTGTGTGTGTTTGTGTGTGTGTGTGTACTCGCACGCGCGCTTTCCTGTGAACTATGATGGAACAAAAAGTTGCCATCTCACACTTATCGACCGCTGATCTTCAAGTAAAACACCTGACTGTTACGATAGTAATGACTGGATGTGTGTGCTCCTACAACTGATTAACTTTCAGAATGAACCCAATTCAAGACGGCTCATTGATTTTTAACCTGCATGGAAATGGCTATAACACTGAATTTTACAGATACTGAGTTAAAATTAGCTACAAGCTCGTACAAAATCACATCAGATTGGGAATGTGTTTTGTCTGAATATTGACCAAAGGAAGTACATGTAGTCTAAATTTTCTTAACATAAAATAAAACATTGGCGTAAAAAAGCAGCTGCATTCCCTTAAAAGAATATGATTCATTGTTTAAGTTTGATTTTAGCCAAATTTAAAATGTATTTTTCCTGTTCATTTTTAAGACCCTCTCATGCTGTAACCTTTAAAAAAAACTTATGTTAAATGTTGTCAAACACACTGAGTTATACTGAAGACAGACTCAAGAAATTAAATGAAAGTCTCTTTTGGACTAGGGTTGAGCAATATTGGCAAAAGCATTTATTATGATTAATTGTGACTTTTAATTAACAGATGACATTTGCATGTAGCTGACGTCGGGGCCTTGGTCTGCCTTTTCTGGCTTTCCTCTTACTCCGGTTTATATCGATGTTTCAGGTAATTAAACATATTCATAGGGTTAGGGTTAGTATTAGTTTCTCTGCGCTGCCTTCCACCATTAGGCTCATATGCATGCTTGACAGTCAAAGTGTGTTTCACAAAATATACATCATCACGTGGCACTAATTGCAATAATTGCAAAGTGGCAAATATTAATTGTTGACAGTTTCTCTTTTGCACACGATACAATTTGCCCGACCCTATTTTGAATGTATATATACTGCATTGCTAATGAGTTAATAAATATATAATCTATGTTTAACATATGAGTAACTTATCCATAACTAGCTTATACATAACATATACAAGTGTAGAACAGTGTTTTTGACTTGTGCTGAGCTTGTGCTCTTCAGTAAATCTTTACTGTGCCAAAAATACACTGGATTTAACTAATCAAATATTGAATATAAAAATATCACATATGTATATATTTAGTTTCATTATCCCAGTTGTGTTGCTTCACAAATCAGAACCTTTTGGGTGACAAACTACCTTATTGGATTACAGATATGAAAACCCTGTGTATAAAATAAAAAAAAAACATTTATTATATAAATTGCTTGTGATTATGTGACTTGTCGTGGCATATGGACACAGTAATTCCAAAACTCACTCTGGGAAATAAGAACCATAACTGTTAACTATAATAAAGTCATTTTTGTGGTACACATTATGCAGCTTGTTATTCCATTTTCACACCTGTTACTCAATAAATTAATCACACACAAAAGGCATCCATATGTTGTGGAAACCTCTGAATTACAGGTATGTCAGAAATAAGTACACTTCACACTTGCCCAGCTGGTTTTTGACATATGTCAACTTATGAGTAACTTACATGTAACATGTTACAGCGGGTAAATTAAGTATTGAACACATCAACATTTTTCTCAGTAAATATATTACTAGAGGTGCTAATGACATGAAATTTTCCAGCAGATGTCGGTAACAACCCAAGTGATCCATACATACAAAGAAATCAAACCATAAATGTCCAGAAATGAAGTGATTTGTAATAATGT